CATCAACACCTGCACAGTCTGAGAGAACCAGCTGACCACAGACAGGTACCTGAGAGAGACAGACAGGTACATCAACACCTGCACAGTCTGAGAGAACCAGCTGACCACAGGCAGGTACCTGAGAGAGACAGACAGGTACACCCTACATCAACACCTGTACAGTCTGAGAGAACCAGCTGACCACAGACAGGTACCTGAGAGAGACAGACAGGTACATCAACACCTGCACAGTCTGAGAGAACCAGCTGACCACACACAGGTACCTGAGAGAGACAGACAGGTACATCAACACCTGCACAGTCTGAGAGACCCAGCTGACCACAGACAGGTACCTGAGAGAGACAGACAGGTACATCAACACCTGTACAGTCTGAGAGAACCAGCTGACCACAGACAGGTACCTGAGAGAGACAGACAGTACACCCTACATCAACACCTGCACAGTCTGAGAGAACCAGCTGACCACAGACAGGTACCTGAGAGAGACAGACAGGTACATCAACACCTGCACAGTCTGAGAGAACCAGCTGACCACAGACAGGTACCTGAGAGAGACAGACAGGTACACCCTACATCAACACCTGTACAGTCTGAGAGAACCAGCTGACCACAGACAGGTACCTGAGAGAGACAGACAGGTACACCCTACATCAACACCTGCACAGTCTGAGAGAACCAGCTGACCACAGACAGGTACCTGAGAGAGACAGACAGGTACATCAATACCTGCATAGTCTGAGAGAACCAGCTGACCACAGACAGGTACCTGAGAGAGACAGACAGGTACATCAACACCTGCACAGTCTGAGAGAACCAGCTGACCACAGACAGGTACCTGAGAGAGACAGACAGGTACATCAACACCTGCACAGTCTGAGAGAACCAGCTGACCACAGACAGGTACCTGAGAGAGACAGACAGGTACATCAACACCTGCATAGTCTGAGAGAACCAGCTGACCACAGACAGGTACCTGAGAGAGACAGACAGGTACATCAACACCTGCACAGTCTGAGAGAACCAGCTGACCACAGACAGGTACCTGAGAGAGACAGACAGGTACATCAACACCTGCACAGTCTGAGAGAACCAGCTGACCACAGACAGGTACCTGAGAGAGACAGACAGTACACCCTACATCAACACCTGTACAGTCTGAGAGAACCAGCTGACCACAGACAGGTACCTGAGAGAGACAGACAGGTACATCAACACCTGTACAGTCTGAGAGAACCAGCTGACCACAGACAGGTACCTGAGAGAGACAGACAGGTACATCAACACCTGTATCTAAACTAAATCTCATCTCTGACTACATTTCCCAGCATACCTCAGCCACTGTGGGGATGACATCACATCCCTCCTTGCCAGTGCCAGCACACAGATCACCGCCCACAGGATGACTGACAGGCCAGCCAGCCAATCACAGGCCAGGCCCCACCAGCCAGACGGCCAGGTGAGTATGAGGATGAGCAGTCTGGTCAGGATGTCGATGACGTTGGTGACGACAAGTGACGTTCTTCTCTGAGCCGACGAAAACTGCTGATACACCTTCTCCAGGTCGGGCGACCTGAACGAGGACAGGTGTGATGAAGTTTAAGGTTAGAGAACACCTTTACCTGAACGTGTCTGTTTGTGCTTCTTTACTTGAACGTGTGCTGCAGCGCTGGAATGAAAACGCCTCGCACAGACGACCCCCTGGACACGAAGAAGTCGGCGTCGCTGAGTGAGTTTTGTGTGATACTTAACGGCACCGAGATCTTTGCCGTCATCGGGTGGACCCGAGCAGCAGACGAGCGCCGTTTCTGCCAGAACGCACCACGAGACGCCTTATTACGAATCTGCCTGTAAGACAACACGGTGGGCAAACATTAAGAGGATTCAAATAGTTTAAAACGGAAGAAAAACAAAGGTGAGGTTAAGTTAACCTGTTGATGACATCATCGTGTGTACCTGCTGATGACATCATCGTGTGTACCTGCTGATGACATCATCGTGTGTACCTGCTGATGACATCATCGTGTGTACCTGTTGATGACATCATCGTGTGTACCTGTTGATGACATCATCGTGTGTACCTGTTGATGACATCATCGTGTGTACCTGTTGATGACATCATCGTGTGTACCTGCTGATGACATCATCGTGTGTACCTGTTGATGACATCATCGTGTGTACCTGCTGATGACATCATCGTGTGTACCTGCTGATGACATCATCGTGTGTACCTGTTGATGTCAGCGATGTAGGCGTCAGTGACGGTGATGCGGTGCCTCCCCCTCTCCAGGCCGCCGGCGAGCCTTAGCGAGTAAAGGTTGTGCTGGTCAATGATGTTTCTGACGGCGTTTTGCCACAGCAGCTGCTTCCTCATCAGGCCAGGGGCGGGGCTTATGTTCACACTGATGCTGATGTCATTTTTATGATGTGCCGCCTCGCAGTCGCCGTTCTCCTTCACGACACGGTTGTCTTCAGTCATGGTTACGGAGGTGGTGCAGACCGCCTCCTCTGACCTGATTGGTGGAGAACATGCAATGAAACTCCAGGCTCACTTCTCCCTACCTTGACCTTTGACCCCATCATACACGCTGCTCATCCTGGTTTAACCTTTGTGAACTTTAGAGAAACACAGTTCTGAACGAGTCACACAGATTTCATTGAAGTTTTGAAGATTAAGAATGAACTTTGATTCTAAATGATTTCTTTGTTCTTACCTGTTCAGGTGATCAGGTATAAACGACCCTGAACAGGATCACGTCTGTCTGAAGGTGACCTTCAGGATTAAGGGTTTGAAATCAGGTCCTCTTAGATGTAATCCAGAGCACTTCGGGTCCCCCTTAACCCTCTCTCCATCAGGTGACAATCAGCCCGTGGACCCTCTGATCATGTTTGTATTGAAGAGAGTCTGTAGAGATGTTAGGAAGTACCTGAACAATCATCTGGATTTACAATGTCAACGTATCAAACATGGCGTCTTTCCTCTGATGATTTTATGATGTCATGATTGATAAAGCTAGCTGGATGTGATCTCGCTCAGCTGATCTGATTGTCTCTTTGCCAAAATGCTCTGAGGCCTGATCGCCTGGCGTCGCCCGGATCAGAGGCAGGTTTCAGGTTAATCCAATCAGGATCTAGCACGGCAGCCTGCTGCTGCCTCCTGACATTCCAGACGGCCGAGCAGTAAGAGAAGGTGGTAGAATAAGGAAGAGAGAATAAATGAAGCTGCTCCTCGTTACCACCGTCATAAACTCATTTTATTATAATCACGTCTGACTGTTAACCACAGGTGTGTGTGTGTGTGTGTGTGTGTGTGTGTGTGTGTGTGTGTTTGAAACGCACCTGCTGCAGGATCTCACTGATATGTGAAGAAGTGTCAGACTTCACTCTGTTTGGATTCTTTTCTTCATATGTCTCATTCTAGCTCCTTCTCGTTGACCCTTCCTCTTTCTTCTTGATCTCAGTCGTCTCCTGATTTGGATGTTTTGTCCGTTTTGTTTTACTTCCAAACATCATTTGGTCCTTCATGTCTTCCTCTCAGGTCTTCTTGGTTCCCCCTCCATTTCTTCACCTTCTGGTTTCTGCATCAGTAATCCAAACACTGAAGTGTCCTCAGAAGTTCAGCCTCTGGATCCATAAAGATCTGTTCCTGTAGGTCTGCAGAATAACATCCATCGTTGACTTGAAGTTTAAAGGTCGACACAGACAGTTTATATCTTTAACATTAGTCCAAAACTATTTACAAAACTTAACATTAACACAAATACTAAAGATAAGGACCGTCTCGTCTGTGTGTCTGTGTGTGTGTGTGCTCTTTACCTCCAGGCATCAGATTAATCAAATTAACTATCCAACAGAAGAAGAAGACGATCTCAACGCTGTTTTTCCAAAGTCAAACTTTTCTTACAATAGAGACAAAAAAGTGGAGAATAAACATGCAGCACATTAAAGATGGAGGTAGATGGAGGTGTGTGTTCATCCTGATGGGAATCCCTGAAACAGAGACAAATGGCTTCTCATTAAGACTCAAGAGATTAACTGAGTGTGTGTGTGTGTGTGTGTGTGTGTGTGTGTGTGTGTGTGTGTGTGTGTGTGTGTGTGTGTGTGTGTGTGTGTGTGTGTGTGTGTGTGTGTGTGTGTGTGTGTGTGTGTGTCAGGTCCATGATAGGAGGAGGTCCAACAGGACACATGTTGTCAGCATGTAGGCGTGTTGGTGTCTTTGTGTGTTGCATCATTTTCCTGCTGTAAGAACAACCGGACGATTAAAGAGGATGATTCTGAAGGATCCTCTTCTTCAGTGTTTCTGATCATTTATCTGTAAGCTGAGAGTCTACTGACCCACAACATGTGAAGTAAACCATCCAGTCCTTTGTTTGTGGTCTGCATAAGTCTTACAACACAGAGAAGCTCTGTTTCTAATGTGCTCTCCTTGTGATGTCACAGTGGGTAAAAAAAAAAAAATCTCCACCCATGGACTCCACCTCCAGCGCTAGAGCAACACTTTAACGCAGGTCGGCCATTTTATTCTCTCTACAGGGGAGTGATGTCTACGGGGAAAACTCAGGGGGCGGGGCTTATTGCATTTAAAGAGACACACACACCAAAACGGAGCGTTCTGAGAGAGCTGGTTTATACAGGGTCACAAACCTCCTCTGGTGCTTGATTCATGTTATATTTTGACCAAAGCACAGCACAGATGTTTCATTTAGACCACAGGGGGACTGTTTTGAAAAGGTGGAGGAGGGGACTGTTTGAAAAGGTGGGAGGAGGACTGTTTGAAAAGGTGAGGAGGGGACTGTTTGAAAACGTGGAGGAGGGGACTGTTTGAAAGGTGGAGGAGGGGACTGTTTGAAAAGTGGAGGAGGACTGTTTGAAAAGGTGGAGGAGGGACTGTTTGAAAAGATGGAGGAGGACTGTTTGAAAAGGTGGAGGAGGAGGACTGTTTGAAAAGGTGGAGGAGGAGGACTGTTTGAAAAGGTGGAGGAGGAGGACTGTTTGAAAAGGTGGAGGAGGACTGTTAGAAAAAGGTGGAGGGGACTGTTTGAAAAGGTGGAGGAGGGGACTGTTTGAAAAGGTGGAGAGAGGACTGTTTGAAAAGGTGGAGGAGGAGGACTGTTTTGAAAAGGTGGAGGAGGACTGTTTGAAAAGGTGGAGGGGACTGTTTGAAAAGGTGGAGGAGGGGACTGTTTTGAAAAGGTGGAGGAGGGGACTGTTTGAAAAGGTGGAGGAGGGGGACTGTTTGAAAAGGTGGAGGAGGACTGTTTTAAAAGATGGAGGAGGGGGACTGTTTGAAAAGGTGGAGGAGGGGATTGTTTGAAAAGGTGGAGGAGGACTGTTTGAAAAGATGGAGGAGGGGACTGTTTGAAAAGGTGGAGGAGGGGACTGTTTTGAAAAGATGGAGGAGGGGACTGTTTGAAAAGATGGAGGAGGGACTGTTTGAAAGGTGGAGGAGGACTGTTTGAAAAGGTGGAGGAGGGGACTGTTTGAAAAGGTGGAGGAGGGGACTGTTTGAAAAGGTGGAGGAGGGGACTGTTTGAAAAGGTGGAGGAGGACTGTTTGAAAAGGTGGAGGAGGACTGTTTGAAAAGGTGGAGGAGGGGACTGTTTGAAAGGTGGAGGAGGACTGTTTGAAAAGGTGGAGGAGGACTGTTTGAAAAGGTGGAGGAGGACTGTTTGAAAAGGTGGAGGAGGACTGTTTGAAAAGGTGGAGGAGGGGACTGTTTGAAAGGTGGAGGAGGGACTGTTTGAAAAGGTGGAGGAGGACTGTTTGAAAAGGTGGAGGAGGGGACTGTTTGAAAAGGTGGAGGAGGGGACTGTTTGAAAAGTGGAGGAGGGGACTGTTTGAAAAGGTGGAGGAGGGGACTGTTTGAAAAGGTGGAGGAGGGGACTGTTTGAAAAGGTGGAGGAGGGGACTGTTTGAAAAGTGGAGGAGGGGACTGTTTGAAAAGGTGGAGGAGGGGACTGTTTGAAAAGGTGGAGGAGGGGACTGTTTGAAAAGGTGGAGGAGGGACTGTTTGAAAAGGTGGAGGAGGACTGTTTGAAAGGTGGAGGAGGGGACTGTTTGAAAAGGTGGAGGAGGGGACTGTTTGAAAAGGTGGAGGAGGAGGACTGTTTGAAAAGGTGGAGGAGGACTGTTTGAAAAGGTGGAGGAGGACTGTTTGAAAAGGTGGAGGAGGGGACTGTTTGAAAAGGTGGAGGAGGACTGTTTGAAAAGGTGGAGGAGGACTGTTTGAAAAGGTGGAGGAGGACTGTTTGAAAAGGTGGAGGAGGACTGTTTGAAAAGGTGGAGGAGGACTGTTTGAAAAGGTGGAGGAGGGGACTGTTTGAAAAGGTGGAGGAGGACTGTTTGAAAAGGTGGAGGAGGGGACTGTTTGAAAAGGTGGAGGAGGGGACTGTTTGAAAAGGTGGAGGAGGACTGTTTGAAAAGGTGGAGGAGGGGACTGTTTGAAAAGGTGGAGGAGGGGACTGTTTGAAAAGGTGGAGGAGGGGACTGTTTGAAAAGTGGAGGAGGGGACTGTTTGAAAAGGTGGAGGAGGGTGTTTGAAAAGGTGGAGGAGGGGACTGTTTGAAAAGGTGGAGGAGGGGACTGTTTGAAAAGGTGGAGGAGGGGACTGTTTGAAAGGTGGAGGAGGGGACTGTTTGAAAAGGTGGAGAGGAGGACTGTTTGAAAAGGTGGAGGAGGGGACTGTTTGAAAAGGTGGAGGAGGACTGTTTGAAAAGGTGGAGGAGGACTGTTTGAAAAGGTGGAGGAGGACTGTTTGAAAAGGTGGAGGAGGGGACTGTTTGAAAAGGTGGAGGAGGGGGACTGTTTGAAAAGGTGGAGGAGGGGGACTGTTTGAAAAGGTGGAGGAGGGGGACTACAGGAAGGGAAACAACAAATCTACAAAACGTTCCCAAATTTTAACTTTGTGAAAATGTCAGACCTTTAAAAACCCTCCATCTTTTTTATAAAATATTCAAAGTTTGTGAAACGTCCATAAAAGTCATTTTACAAAATATTTTTACTCACGAGACAACCATCCAGTCTTTACAAAAATGTCCACGCTTTGTCACTGAGACAGGTGCACCAGTACACACACACACACTCACACGGGAGTCAGAGGAAGAATTTTTGTCTTTTTATTATTTCAAAAAACAGTCAAGTTGAACATGCACTGACAAGAACAACAGCAAGTCTCTCTCTCTCTCTCTCTCTCTCTCTCTCTCTCTCTCTCTCTCTCTCTCTCTCTCTCTCTCTCTCTCTCTCTCTCTCTCTCTCTCTCTCTCTCTCTCTCTCTCTCTCTCTCTCTCTCTCTCTCTCTCTCTCTCTCTCTCTCTCTCTCTCTCTCTCTCTCTCTCTCTCTCTCTCAGCACGGTGGCGTTCACATGGCACAAAGACTCTAAATAAATATGTTTATAAATAAATAAATACTGTGGTTATGACATCATCAGCGTGCGAGGTCGGGTTATTTGATGTTCTTCAGCAGAGACGTGCGAGCGTTCACCACCGCCTTGAAGGCGTCTTCGC